CAAAGGAAGAGCTAGGGTGGTCAACACTGGAACTCTCTCATGATATTCATCACCCATCCTTGAGGTTCTCACTGTGCCTCACCCCAAGACACTGTTTGCCCCCCTCGGGCCCTGCCACACCCTCTCCCAATCTCTCAGACTTATCCTTCTACCAGGTCAGAAAGCATTTGCATAAATAGGCTAAAAACACTCCCCAGTTCATTGCTAAACAACTCTGACAGCACCCAGGGCTTTAATTCTTATTTTCTGTTATTCACATTGGAGAGGAAACAAGTGTCAATGATTCTCTTCTGATTTGAGAGAGCCACCTGTCATCGAAACCTTGTTACCAGGGCAACAAGTCATCTTCAAGTAAGGCAGCCAATCAGAAGCTGGAGTTTCTTGGGAAGGTGGTGACAGAGTGACACAAGGCCCCTTTGTTCAAATAAGGCTTCAAGGACAGATGTATATTAAGAGTGAGAAGTACAAGCTGGGGACACTTATGAATATTCATAAAGAAAACCAGTCTCTGGGAAAGAAAAATCCTCTCTCTTTCCCTGGCAGCAGGAAACACAAGCCATTTCCCTTGAGTCTTTTGTAAACTCCTTTTCCCCAACTATAGTTTAAATAATAACCTTGGGTGGTATTGGCTACGGGCTGAATGCAGAATTTTACTATATGTAAATGACATAATAAAACCCAATTTAACTCTACTTGGGAAAAGCAAAACATTTGGGTGGCACACTTGTCAGAATGCAGCAAATGGAACACTTCAGACATACACATTTTGCTTTTTTTTTAGACATATAAATTTTATTTATTTTATTTTTTGACAGCACTGGGGTTTGAACTCAGGGTCTGACACTTTTTACGCTGGCGCTCTTACCACTTAAGCCACTCCACCAGCCCCAGACATGTGCATTTTAGTGCATGGAAATTATCCTTCAATAAAATTGCCTTTAAAAAATTTTAAGTAAGTGACTGTTCTGTTTTTGGGATGTTTTGGGAGATGCTGGGATTTGAACTCCAGGTCTTGAGCCTGTTAGGCAGGCACTCCACTACCTGACCCTACCCTACCCCTTTTTGCTTTTGGTTATTATTTGAATAAGGTCTTACATTTTTGCTGAGACTTGCCTGGATTTCTATCTCCTGAGTAGCTGGGATGCGAGGTGCACCACGCCCAGTTTTAATGGTTGAGATTGGTTGAAACGGGCTGGTCTTGAACCTCAATCCCTTCTGATCACCTCTGGAGTACCTAGAATCAGCCCATGGTAAGCAGCTTTAATTTTTTTTTAATTTTTAAATTTTATTTTTTTTTAAGCTGTACTGGGGTTTGAACTCAGGACTTCATACTTGCAAAGCAGGTGCTCTTCTGCTTGAACCACACCTCCAGGTCATTTTGCTTTGGTTATTTTGGAGATGGGGGACTTGTGAACTATTTGCCTGGTCTGGCCTCAAACCAAGATCCTTTGGATCTCAGCCTCAAAGGATCTAGAATTCCAGGTGTGAGCCACTGCCTGGCTGGGATTTTATTAGATAGCAGCAGATGTGAAATTGAGCTTATTTTTACCAATAGAAATTGGGCAAATGAACTGGACATCTGTAATCCTAGTTACTTGGGAGGTAGAGATTAGGAAGATAGCCATTTGAGGCCAGTTTGGGCAAACAGTTTGAGAGACCCCCTCTTGAAAATATCCAACACAAAAATGGGCTAGGGGCATGGCTGAAGTGGTAGAATGCCTGCCTAGCAAGTGTGATGTCCTGAGTTCAAACCCTAGTACTGTGGCACCCCCAAATTGGAAAAATGAAAGGATTTCAGTTTTTAAAAGATAATTGAAACTGGGTGCTGGTGGCTTACACCTGTAATCCTAGTTTCTTGAGAGGCTGAGATCAGGAAGATTACCATTCAAGGCTAGCTGGGGCAAATAATTCATGAAACTCCCATCTTCAAAACAACTGGAGAAAAATGGACTGGAGATGTGGCATAAGTGGTAGAGCACTTGCTCTACAGACATGAAGTCCTGAGTTCAAACCCCAGTCCTACCCCCAAGATAATTAAAGAGTATGTGGCTCTTTTTTGCTGCTGTCCAAAGGGTTTCCAAACCCAATCATTAGGGACCCTTAAGGTTCCACACACCACCCTGCTTTCTACTTACTCTGTGTTTGGAGCTATTTATTTCTTCTGTGCCTTTTGAAAGCTTTTCTCTGAAAAGTCCTGAGGCTAAATAAGGTTTCAAAATCAGAACTCTCAAAAAGTGATTTTTTTGGGGGGGGTGCAGTGCTAGGAATGGAATTGAGACCTTGCACACACTGGACAAGTACTGTCACTGAGCTATGCCCCAGGCCCTAAAAGTGATTTTTGTCTTCTTGCAAGCTACATTGTGCCAGGATGTGTCTGGGAAACTTCAGGGAGAATGGACAAGTTTGCAGGGGGAAGGCCTGGCAAGAAAGTGAGCCTGGAGGTTCCTGCAGGGGCTGAAGGAGAGCGAAGGCCAGTGGAATTTGATTCTGCAACCAGATTCCTCTGTTTCCTGCTTCATTAGTTTCCTTTCAGTTTCTCAAAATCTGTGCTCTCTGACGTGCCTCAGGACTTTGGGATGTGCAGTTCCCTCCATTCAGAATGCCTTTCCTGGCTTCTTCTCCCAGCTAACTCCTGTTCTCCCTTCAAACTTCCCTCATCCATCTCTTCCTCTATATAAAGCTTCCAAGATTCTTCCATGTAGAGCCAGATTGTTGTCAGAAGTTCTCATGGAACCGGATTCCTCTTCTTCCAGGCAGGAAGGACACTTGGAGCTGTGGAGCATTCTATTAGTGTGCGTCTTCCCATGGCAAACAAGGGCAAACTCAAGGGTCCTTGAGTCTTAGCCCAGTACCTGTCACAGAGTAGATGCACAGAAAACATCACTCCAACTTTGGACCGATGGACACTGCCGCATTTACACAGGGATCTCATACATGCATGTCACTTTTATTGAAATCTAACATGCATAGAGGAAATTATGCAGATGTCAGGGCATAGCTGAAATCTAGTGCTAAGCCCCCAGAAACATCCCTTGTGTCCCCCATCAATGTTACTTTGTGTCCCCTGGAAGATTTTGCCCTTGTTTCCAACGTGCAGATTGGTTTTATCTCTTCATCCTTCTGTGTAAGTGGGTCTGCATGGTGCCCTCTTTTGCTTCCATGCTAACATGATGTTGGAGACACCACTCATATTCCTGCACACAGCTGCAATTGGTAGCCTGACCACATGCATTGCTAGAGACCGGGGGTGGGTATTTTTTTTTCTCTATAAAGAGCCACACAGTTAATGTGCCTGGTTTTTGTGGGTCATAGTATCTGTCACAACTACTCAATTCTGCCCCTAATGTGTGAATGCCATCGATGGGGAAGCAGCCATAGAGGATGTTATTTAAAAAAATGAGGACAGGGTGCAGCGTCTCATGCCTGCAATCCCAGTTTCTTGGGATTTGGAAATGGGGAGAATCACAGTTCAAGGCTAGCCTGGGCAAACAGTTAGGGAGATCCAATCTCAGTCAATAAAAAGCTTCATGATGTGAATTTGTTATCCCAGCTACATGGGAAGCATAAATGGGACAATCGTGGTCTACACCAGCCTGGGCATAAAGGTGAGATCCTATTTGAAAAATAATGGAAGTAGCTAGGCTCATGCCTGTAATCCTAGCTACTCAGGAGGCAGAGATCAAGATAGTCATGGTTCCAAGCCAGCCCTGGGCAAATAGTTCGCAAGCGTGAGGCCCTGAGTTCAAGTCCCAATATCACAAAAGAAAAAAAAATCTAAAAAAAGGAAGTAAAAAAGGCTGAGGCTGCAGTAGAACCTCTGCTTAGCAAGCACAAACCCTGAGTTTAAAAAGAATCCAGTACTCCCAAAAATGGGCAGGGGGAGGCTGGTGGTGTGGTTCAGTGTTAGAGCACCTGCCTAGCATGTGCAAAACCCTGGGGTCCACCCCCAGCTCGGCAAAAACAAAAATCAGTTTAAAAAAGTAGACATACTGTGTTCCAAGAAAACCTTATTTATAGACATTGGAGTTTGAATTTCATTTTGTTTAGTTTTGTTTATTTGAGGTTCTGAGTCTGGAACCTAGGGCCTTGTGCATGGTAGGTAAGCATTCTACCACCGAGCTACATCCCACCTCTGAATTTCATAGAATCTTCAAGTATCACTAAACATTAAAAAAAGTTCAACGATTTAAAAAATGTATAAACTGTCATTTCCTCAAAAAGTTAAACATAGAAGTACCTTACGATTAGGCAACACCGCTTCTGGGTGTTCAGACACAAAAGGATGTGTGTTGTACAGCTCCACATAAAAGAGGTCCTGAAGTAAAGAAATTGATAAAGTCTGAAAGTAGGATGGTGGGTGCCGGGGTGCAGGACAAAGCAGTATTGGGGAGCTGGTGTTGAATGGAGGTAGAGGGTGGTAATGATGCACAGCCCTGTGAATGTGCTATGTATATTTCATTGCAACAAAATCCATTGTCTTGAAAACTAACAAAACAAAAACATAAGAACTGCTGTTAGCTAAGGGATGGTCCAACAGCACTAGGGAAGTTGAGGCAAGAGGACTGGGAATTTGGGGCCAGCCTGGCCTATGCAGTGAGACGTAGGGGCCATAGCTGTCTTCTCTCCAGAACGTCCAATTGAAGAATTGATCATTCTATTGCTGATAGGCATTTGGGCATAAGCATGGTGGACAATATTCACAAAGGTACTTAATCTTAGAGTTATACCTCCAACCCGTGCCTGCACACTTCTGTTTCTCTACCTGCCTACTTGAGATTTACACCCCCCTCCCCAGCATTACTCACAACCAGTCCCCGCAATCCTCAGATGTGGGACAGGATGGCTATTGAAAGAGGAGGCTGTGACAGAGAGAGGGTAGAGGGTAGAGTCCCCTTTCTGGGGCCTCTAGCGTCTGCTCAGGGGCTTCCTCTTGGCCCCGGATGTGGGAAGGGAGGACCAGGGACCAAAGGACTTATTAGTCAAGACATGAAGCCTCACACCCAGAGGCCACAAAGACAGAGCTGTGGCACAGGAATTTGTGTCCTAGATTTGATTTAGGTCCTGCTGAATCTGAGGGTAAGTGATGTCTTCTGCTGCCATAGTCCCAGCCTGGGGCTCAGGGGCAGATTTGGGCCTCCATCCTCCCACCCCCTGGGACACAGGATTCCAGGTCCCATGGGCCTGATCCTCCCCAACACTGAAAAGGGCTGACCCAAGGTGGGTGTCTTGGTTCCTTTCTTGCAGCACCTTCAGAATGAAGGCTCTCTCCCTCCTCCTCTTTCCTGTCCTGGGGCTGCTGGTGTCCTGCAAGTCACTGTGTCCTATAGAAGAAGCTATCAGTGAGAAGATCAAGGAAGATGTCAACTCCCTAAGTGAGGACCCCCACATCCAACCCCAAATGTCTCTCTAATCCAGACATGGACATGACCCTCCCCCCCAGCCCCAGCACTAACCAAACTTCATTCTCAATTCTACTCCAACCACAGATTCCACCTACTCTACTTCCAGCCTCATCCAGCCCTACCTTGAGAACCACAGTTCCATACTCAAACCCAACTTTCACCCTAACCACCCCCCCAAACCTTGCTTTGCTCCATAGCAGCCAAGTCAAAGTGGTGCTGGGGATACGGACTTGTACCCCAGGCTGGTCTTGAACTTTTGATCCTTTGCTGCAGTCTCTCCAATGCTGGAATTACAGATATGAACCATATCCCAGCGAAACCTTTGATCCGCCTATCTTACTCCAAGGCACCAGGGTCTCCCAAGATGAGGACTGAGCAGGGCAGCTGGCCTCACAGCCCCTCCCAACCTTCCTCCTACAGTTTTGGAGTCCCTTAAGGGCATTGACATGAATTGCAAGACTGTTACCTCCAGGGGGGACCTGGCCACCTGTCCTGCAGGTGAGTGCAAAAGTCTGTTGTTCCAGCTTCCAGCTCTTGTTCTATGACCCCTGGAAATCCCCTTCCTTCCATGTCCTGCATCTGGGGCCTCAGTTTCTACTTCCTTAGGGTTCTGATTTGCCCCCAGCCTTCTCCCCTACATCTCAGCTCCAGGAACCCATTTCCTTAGGACACTAATGTCTAGTTCCTCAGTTCCACTTCACACATCCTGCACCCATTCGCTGGTGGGAGCTTCCAGTCATCTCCACCCCACCCCCACCCTGCAGCCTCCCATTTCGAGGGTTCAAGCTCTCTGGCCCCCACCCACAGGCCACGTCGTCACCAGCTGCACGTGTGGTTCTGCCTGTGGCTCCTGGGATGTTCGTGCAGATACAACGTGCCACTGTCAGTGTGCGGGCATGGATTGGACTGGAGCCCGCTGCTGTCGTATGGTGGTCACAGCCTGAGGTCATGTGTGCAGCATGTGTGGTTTGGGGTGGGGAGGGTTTGGGGCAGAGTCAAGCTTGGGAAATAAAGCAGGATATGATGATGGTGGTGGTGGTGATAATGATGAAATGGATAATGGGCCCTGTGTGGATTTTTTCAGTGGGGGGAGTGTGGGAAAAGAGCTGGGCATGTAGGTGCTAGAGGTGCTCAGGAGGAGGCCTGAGATTTTCTTCTGCTCCATATTCTTTCCTTTCATGGCGTCTCTCACCTTTTCCTCTAAGAATGAAACTTCAGCTTCCTCTGATAGCACCTCCGGCAGAGAATTATAGCTTCCTTCAGGAGGAAGTGGGTCTCACCTTTGAGGCCACCATGACAGTCATCCTCTGGTCAATGCCTCCCAGGAAATTGCTGGCTTATTTTTCCCCACCCACCGCAATAAGGCTTCATGAAGGATCTGGGTCAGTCTGGAATGTTCCAAGGTCTAAGCCCCCAGCAACCCCAGGATCAAGGTGGACCCCTGACTCATCTATCAGCCCAGAGCCCTGAGCATCTACCCCTTACTCCTAGCCCACAAGAAGGGCTCCCCAAAGCACAGGCAGAGTCTGGTCATGAATGGGAAGGAATCTTCTCAGGGGCCTGCAGAGAACTCCTACTTGAGGTTACACATCACAAATTCATGTTTTCAACCCACGAAGTTCCCAGTAGTTAGTTACAGCCTGTGGTACACAGGGCATTAGAACAGAAAAACCCAGGACACAGGACTTCTTTGCTTAGAACAGAGCATGGCACACCGTAGGTGTTCAGTAAATGTCTGTTGAATCGTGTACACTTAGAGATGCTGCTCCACGAGCACACAGTGGTATACAGCCACATGCACACACAGAGTACACAACATGGTTGCCATGATGTTGTGGTTTGGATGAGTGAACCACAAAAGTCTATGAGCTAAAGGAAGGTTTGGTTCCCAGGCACTATTGGGAGGTGCTGTGGATCTTTAAGGGGTGGGGCTTAGTGGGAAGTCCTTAGGTCATTGGGAATGTGCCCTCAAGGGGAATTATGGGACTTTGATTTCTCAGTATCTTTTTCCTAGCTTGTGAGTTAAGTGATTTGCTCTGCCATGTGCTCTTACCAGGATATGCTGCTTCATCAGAGGCCTGAAGCAATGGGGCCACCTGCTCTGTGACTAGAACTTCTAGAAATGAGCCAAAAATACTTTTCTCTTTATAAGTTAACCACCTCAGGTATTTTGTTATAGTACCTGGAAGCTGACTAACACACAGTTAAACAGAGACACCATATCCACAGACATGCCCATGTACCCAAAGAAAGTTACTCCTGAGCAGGGTGCCTATGGCTAACACCTGTAATCCTAGCTACTCAGGAGGCTGAGATCAGGAGGATTGTGGTTCAAGGCCAGATGGGGCAAATAATTCACAAGACCCTATTTCCAAAAAATAAACAGAGCAACAGGGACTGGAGCTGTGACTCAAGTGGTAGAGAGCCTGCTTTGCAAGTGTAAAGCTCTGAGTTCAAGCCCAGTCCCACCACAAAAAAAAAAAAAAGGAAGTCATTCCTGAATACACCCAGAGAATGACAGCTATAACCATGTTGAGAGACACAGACTCAGGAATGGAGACACATATATGTTCCAGACAGAGTTTTGTGCTTCCAACATTGACTTCCCACCTGACCCGAATGAAGACCTGATACCCTAGATGGCAGCCCCTCCCCCACATCCCATAACTCCAGCTCCCAGGGAGAGGGCAACAAGTCCAGTTGACTCAGAGTCCAGTTCCCCAGGAATCCTAACCCAGGAGTAATGCATCCAGCTCCTCAGAGGTGCAGCCCCAGGCCTCCAAATCCCTAACTCCCAATTTTGAAAGAGTCCCCAGACTCTAATGTCATCCAGGAGCACAGAGGATAGGGTGGGGTCCTGTTTATTGTTTGGGTCTCTCCTACCATTGCCACCCTTCCCTTATAATGACATAGCCCTTCCTGTGATTCTGGTGACCTTGAACAGAGGTCATTCTGCTCCTGGAGTCTGAGAGTACTCCTAGGTGCTGACCCAGAAATAATACACCTCCTAGAACTTTCCTACTGACCCCCATTGTGGGACCCCTGAGTCAGAAGTGCAGCCAGGACCAGAGAGGGTGGGTCTAGTGCCTTCATTGATGCGCGTGCTCTCTTGTTCTTAGACCCTAAGTACGAATGTTGCGTTGTCTATAAACCTACCTAATTGTCTCTTCAGAGTCCTCAATCCCAACACAGTTATCCTCCTGTCCCAGAGTGCAGACTTGGGTTAGAACAGGTTAAGGTATGGCTAGATCCAGGGTCTCAAATTATGTCTCCAGGATCAGACTCCTTCTTCTTTTTTTTTTTTTCCATGCTAACTTGCTTCTCTCCTGCCATTGTACCAGGCTTCCCACTCTGGCAGCCTGAGTGGAAAAGAAAATAAAATGCCTTTTTACCCTAGTTAACCTAACAAAAGTCCCAGACTAGAGTTTTATTGGCAAGATACAGAGCACAAGCCCACTCCTGTGCCAAAGCTTAAACTGTGATTGGCTGAGCCTGGATCATGTGACTTTCCTAAGCCAATCCCTGGTTTTGATTGGGATTTGCACTTGGGACATTATTTTTTCACAGTACAGTTTTGAACTCAAGGCCTCACACTTGCTAGGCAGGGATCTATCACTTGAGTCTATCCACCAGCCCATTAAGACATATTTTCGATCTTAGAAGAAAATAAGACTATTCCTCCGTGAAAGGAAGGTGTTAGTCAGGCAACCCCATGGGTTTATTTTCCCTGTGCAGGGGCTCAAACCCAGGGTCTTGTGCCTGCAAGGCACATACTCTACTATTAAGTTACATCGCCAGTCTTGTCATAAAGGTTTCCTATGTGACATGTTTGCTTGTGGGCCTCCAGTCTAACCACTTTTTTCCTAGAGGGCTGGAACCAAGTCGCAGACCTAACCAAGCAAGAGAAATGTGCAATGCTGCAGCCCCGCCCTCTGCACCTGTCCATCAGAGTAAAGCCCGCTTCCAATTGGTCCGTCTCCTGGCTATTATGTCAGGAGGCCGTCCTATAACTCTGGCTAACTTCTAAGACCTGATAGAGGAGCTGGCATTGAATCTCTATGGCATTGATCTTTCTTGGGGAGTCAAGATTAGGCAACATTTTGGAAACGGAATATTACCCTTGTTAGATCGTGGGCACCATTCCAAAATTATCTCGAATTTAACCACACATTTTAAGCCGAAACATACAGTACTCACTTTCTGCAGATGGTCACAAAGTCTTACACTTCTCCTTTTTATTCAGAGACAGAAAAATGTAACACACCCAAATGGCATACATTGAGCACTTGAAATGTGGCCAGTAGGAACCAAGATGTGCCTGCAAATACACACTTGATTTTTCTTTATTTTTTTTACTTGGATTTGAACCCAGGGCCTCATGCTTCCTAAGCAGGGGTATTCTACCTCTTGAGACATTCTGCCAGCCTACACTTGATTTCTAAAACTAAGTGAAAAAAAAGAAAGGAAAATGAAAAAGGAAGAAAAAAATGCAAATTATCTTATTAATAAAATTTTAATATTTTGGTCTTTTATTAATGAGTTGGAGTCTCACTATGTTGCTTAGACTGTCCTCAAACTTCTGGGCTTGTCATACTGGCTCACACCTGTAATCCTAGTTACTCGGGAGGCAGTGAGCAGAAGGATAGTGGTTCAAGACCAGCCAGGGAAAAAGTTAGGAAGACTCCCATCTCAACTAGTATTTGGGTGTGGTGGTGTGCATCCATTATCCCAGCTATAAATCCTATAAATAAGATTGTGGTCCAGGTCAGCCTGGGGATAAAGTGAGACCCTATTTTAAAAATAACCAGTGCATAAAGGGCTGGTGGTGTGGCTTACGTGATTGTGTGCCTTAAATTCAATCCTCAGTATGTCAAAAAAACAAAAAATAAAAAACAAAGAAATGAATAAAACTTCTGGGCTCAAGTGATCCTTCTGCCTCAGCCTGCCACGAGGCAGGAACTACAGATGCCTGCTACTGTGCCCTACTTCATTAATAATTTTGAAATAGAACCGACATGCTGAAATGATAATAATTTAGGTGTATTTCATTAAATAAAAATAGTACTAAAATTAATTTAGTGCTGATGGTATAGGTCCGTGGTTGGGTGTTTGTCTATTTTGCACGAGGCCCTGAGTTCCATTCCTGGCATTACAAAAAATTAATTAATTAATTAAATTAATTTGGTTTATTGTCTTTTGAATGTATCTGCTAGGCAGTTTTAAATTAAGCCTAGGTGGGGGTGAGGGTATAGCTCAGGGACAGAGCACTTGGTTAGTGTATGTGAGGGGGGCCTGGGTTCCAGCCCCAGTATAGCAAAAATAAATAAATTAAACCTGTGGTTCACATATTGTCTTTGGGGACACATGTCTAGACCTAAAGAGAAAATTTCCTTGTATATATTGTGCTTTTTGTATCCTCCACTGTCAGGGTAAGATAAGCACAAAAAGAAGTTTAAGACACTGTCTAGACAGAGGCTAGGCATGCGAACTTTGCAAATGTGCAGCTGTGTATTTCTCTGGGTGGCATGTTGCAGGAAGAATGAGTGTGTGATGCGTATCCACTAGCAGACCCTCAACTGAGGGTGTCTGGAGGGGTGTGCACATGTATGTGTATGTGTGTGAGGCAGGTGGGGTTGCAGATGATGGGTGTGCTTCTCCCATGGGGTCTCCAGGTAGAGGGAAACTGTACCTCCAGGATTCTGCCAGAGCAGGGGACCAGGATGTGTGTCTGACCTCAGTCCTAGATATGGGTGTGGAGTTTGGTGGTTAGCCCTCCTTGCCTCACATCTGTTCCTTTCTTTCATGGGGCCTAGGAGAAGTATAACTTTTGAGGCAGGGTGGAGCTGTGGGGTGGGACTGGAGCTGGGGGTGGGGGAGGAAAGTGTGTGGGATCCCGAGTTCTGCCTCCAAGCCTGAAAGCCCTTACCCTAAAAGGTGAAGCTATGAGGTGACACAGCTTTCTCCACTGAGACAGAAGACAGAGAAGGGCAGGAGGACAAGGTTCATTCAAGTGCACTCTGTCTGTCTGTCTGTCTCTCCTCTCTCACACACAGTATTTCTCTAGGTCTAGGGTCATCTCGGCCATCCCTAAGACCCCTGTTCCTCTTAAGATCTTGATCTGGGAGGTGAGGATGCCCCAGGATGGGAGGGTCGTGGATCCCTGAAAAGAAGAGGCTACCTATTCTTTCCTGCCTCCCGCCCCTAGATTTCCCCATCAGCCCAGACACCTTCCGGTGAGTGGAGATGTATGGACACACCAGCCAGCTGGGGGACTATGGAGGCTGAGGAAATCTACATGAACCAGCAGATCAAGATGCAGGTGGTGGGCTCCAAAGTCAAGAAACGGGGGAAACCAGGCAATGATGAAGGTCAGGGGCCTCTGAGTGGGAAGGGACAGGTGGGGAGGGGTTGAGATGGGACAGGAAAGGGGCTGAAGTTGGGGGCTGAAGAGCTGCTTCCCTCCATGTTTTGTGTGTGTGTGTGTGTGTGTGTGTGTGTGCTTGTGTGTAAATCTCCCAGAGCCCCATATAATGTGTCTGTGTGAATCTTCAGATCCTCACATACATTTGCTCTACTTAATGATTGATTTTATTCATAATTCCTTATCTTTTATTCCTGGAAATTCGCTATGTTCAGGGGTTTTATGTATCAAGATCTCTGGCCCCGCCCCCTCCCAGAGCCCCGGGCAGGTCTCTAACCACCTCTCTCATCAAATCCCACACAGGTGCTGGTGACCCCAACTATGAGAATATTACCTTGACCAGACACTGGGACCAACCAAAGGGTGGTCACCCAGCACCCACAGAACAAGGTGGGCCCCCAAATTTGAGAAGAGGCACATGGGAGGGAGCTGATCATGGAGAAGGCGGTGAATTGTGTAGGGTGTGGTGGCATCAGGATTGTGATGGTGACTGTGGTGGAGATAATTTTGTAGCTGGTGATGGACATTGGCTGCCTGAAATTCGGCTGGTGGTACTGGTGGTTGCGTAGGTGAAGGATTGGGTGTTGTGTTGGTTAGAGTGAGACCAAGTGCCAAGATGGTTTATTGGAGCTGTGGAGGGTGCTGATGCAGCCTGTGGATGGTGACAGTGCTGGCGGTGATAGGCATTGATTGGTGCTGCAATACATATTGTTGACATTGATTGTGAATGTCGTTGATGGTCACAATTGACAATGATATTGGAAAGGGCTAGTTGTCAATGGTGCTACAGACAGTATTGATGGTCTGGTGGCATTGCACCCTGTAGATCACCTGGTCTGCCTCTCTGCCCCAGTTCCAGCCCAGCCCAGGCCATCTCCGGACACTTTACAGGTCCCCTCTTGGTTGCACAGAGCCATCATGAGCCTGCATATTTTCCTCGCCCTGATCTTTCTGTTCTGCATTACACTCTCCACCTTGGTCCTGGTGAGAAGTGAGTGTTTGTTCTTGGGGGATGGGGGCTGGGGAGCTCCAAGTTTCCACTCATTTCTCTCCCCACTCTCCATTCCTCTTTCTTTCCCAGGAGGGCAGAGCCAGGGAACTTCAAGGGTTTTCTTGCTTTCTCCTAAATAGATTCTGCAATGTCCACGGACCTGCTGGACTTGAAAAGACAGCTTTGGAATGGTGAGTGGAGGAGCTGAAGGAAACCTACGGGGTTGTGGCAAGGGTCTGGAGAGGGTGGCCTCCTAGATACCCCAACTCCATGCCCTTAGTCTCAAACTCGATGCGGGACTGCTGTGATGAGCAGAAGAAGTGTTGCCGCAACATCCAGGAGGAAGTCATAAGGGTCAAGGTTCTCATCAACTCGGTCCACAGCAAGGTCCAATCCTCAAACAGCAGGCTGAATATGGTGTCAACAGGTACTCTTGCACATCTGCCCTTCGATGGGTGATCTTTTTTTTTTAACTATTCATTTATTCACATGTGCATACATTGTTTAGGTCATTTCTCCCTCCTGCCTCTGCTCCCACCCATGATCTTTTAAAAAATTTTTATTTATTTATTTATTTATTTTTATGTTCGCCTCCAGACCGGGTACTTGGCACTCAGGGAGGAGATGGCTGGGGTCCTACCCTCCCAAAGTTCAGAGTCTGGAGGGGTAATGGGTGATATCCTCTGAATTGCTTCGGGGGGGGAATTTTTAAACACTAACAGGAACCCCAAATACAGGAATCTGTTACATCTCCCAGTTCCAACAGGGAGGGGAGCTTCCAGTGAAGGTGGGGGCTTTGTCTGAGGCCCCACCCCAGCTTCACCTTCTCCTCCCACTAGATATAATCATGATCAGTGAAAAAATACAGAAAATCCTCAACCTGCAGGAGAAAAATACACGTAAGCCCAGACCCAGGGAAGTGGAAGTGGGGGCTGGAACCCTAGAACTGGCCTTGGATTGTGTCTCAAATGCTGGTCTGCCTGACCTTAGGTCTGTTCCTTCCCCCAGAGCCCACTCCCCAATAAACAAGAAGACATGGCAACCACATCATGGAAGATGGGACCACACCTGCCAGTGAAGATGGAAAATGGGGGTCCCCCAGCCTGCTGCAAGCCAGCTCTGCATTCCATGCATAGGAAATTGTGTGTCTGGGTGAATGAGTGTTGTACAGTTGCATGTGTGTGCATGTGAAAAGGGGCGTTTGGTGGAGGGTGGGAGTTTCCAAGTGTCCCAAGGGCAGGTGTTATGGGTGAATGTAAGCATGGAGACACAGAAGGTGTGCTGTGCATGCCCGTGTCACTCTACATGTGACACACGTGTGGCATGACGTATGTGAGCCTAGGCATGCCTGGTGGGTGCCTGTCAACAAGGATCCCAAAAGTATGTCATTGTGAGTGTGGGTGTTGGTGCATGTGATTTATGTCTCAGTGTCCATGTGTGAGTGCACCCTGTTGTGCTGTATGTATAAACAGCACAGGTGGTATGTGGGGGTGTATCCCTGTGAGGGTGTTGCCGTCTGTGCCCTGTCACTACCTGTGCCAGCATGGACGGATGTGTGTCATTCTGCACGTGCCTGGTCATGTCACCTTGTGTGTTTGGAGATGCACACATATGTGATCATTGTTTCTAGACTCAGATTTTGTGATTCATGAAGATAAAAGTCAAAGGGAAACAACGTGATTTTGGACCTATTTTTGAGATGACTGGGGGACTTTGGAACCGGCTGAAGAGAGTCTGCAAGTTCTGGGGCTTTGGGAGTGGGGAAACCCACACAACGAGCATGGCTATGATGTGGGGAACCCTGGGGAAGAAGGGTGAACAAGAATAAAGACCCCATGCAGGTCCGTTTGTGTCCTGTGAACGTGTACCCAGGGCGTGACTGAGTCTCTATGCCCCAGTGTACACACGAGCACACATATGCTCTTATGTGCATGCAGCCTGAGATGGACAATGCCTCTCTAAGTGTACCCTGATATATATGAGCTCCTAAACGTGTGCACACGGGTGTCATTGTGCCTGTGAGTGTATCCGTGCCACTGAGCATGCAATATGGGTGTACATGTCCCTAAATGCATTATGCCAAGCGACTCATGGATGTATTCGAGATAAGAGAACATGTGTCCAAGGATACACATGTGCCCTTGAGACAAGAGACGTGTGCTCATCGTCATACGTGTGCCCCTGAGCAGGTGACTACGCGTGCTACTGTCCCCTTGCCAACCAAAGCTAGCGAGGCTAGAGAGAGTTCAGCCGCCGGCGGAGTGGACACGCGCGCCCCCCTGTGGCCACTGCCGGGCACCACCACTTACTCCCGCCCCGCCTATGTGCCTGGCCCGCCACGCGCCTGCGCACGCAGCGTCTTTTACGGCGCCGTAAAGCAGCTGGGCCGAACCGACGGCCGCAGTTCCGGGTGAGATCTCTTTCCCCACCCTGCCCGCGACCCCTACTCTTGCCGGGCCTCGTCCGCTCCCCTTTACTTCCCCGCGGGTCTGTGCGTTTGATCCGGGGTCTCGGCATCCGCGTTGCCCAGTCTGCTCGCTTTGGCTCCTCATCCCGGGGACTCTCAGCAGAGTGGGCGGGGAGGTCTCGGGGTCCCGGCCCTACCGCCGCTCAGCTCTCCACCCCATAGGAGCCCGACGAAGGCGGCTGCACGCTCGGTCCCTAGCATCACGAGCCCCTGGGATCCCCAACCCCGCTGGCCCGCAGGGACTCCCCTCCGCCCCCAGACCCGTTGGGGTCCTTTCAGCATCCCCTGGCCCTCCAGTCCCCATGCATGATGGGGGCGAGGCTCTCTGCTCTCTCTATCCCCGCCCCCCCAATGCCAGTGGCTTCACCCCGAGATAGGCGAGGGTCTCAGCGCCTCCTTGGGTTCTCTCTAGCATCCCCGCTCTTCACTTCCCTCTCCCCCCACCTCCAGTTATGGTTTCCTGCAGGAGGATGGGAGGGTCACAGTGCCTCCTCCTGTTCCCCAAGCCCGGTTCTGACGGCGCACCTCTTCCCCTGGTTTCCCATCACCCAACCTTCTGGAGGGTTTGGGAGTAGGGGACTCCTAACACCTTCTCTGGGTCTTTTTTTTTTTTTAACTATTATTCATATGTGCATACAAGGCTTGGGTCATTTCTCCCCCCTGCCCCCACCCCCTCCCTTACCACCCACTCCGCTCCCTCCCTCTCCCCCCCACCCCCTCAATACCCAGCAGAAACTATTTTGCCCTTATTTCTAATTTTATTTGTAGAGAGAGTATAAGCAATAATAGAAAGGAACAAGGGTTTTTGCTGGTTGAGATAAGGATAGCTATACAGGGCATTGACTCACATTGATTTCCTGTGCGTGGGTGTTACCTTCTAGGTTAATTCTTTTTCTTCTCTGGGCCTTCAGGCTGCTCCAGGGCGCTGGGTTGGGGGTGTCCTACTCTTTCTGGCTTGACTCGTGGATCTTACCTGTTCCTGAAGCCCCCGACCCTCCAGGCCTTTGGTATTGACACACCTCTACCCCTTCCCAGAGTTACTCTAGCTTTACTCAAAGGGGTGGGCAGGAAAGTTCCTGAGGGAGGTAAGGGATGGAGCGCACAGTATCTGGGAAAATGGCGGTTGCCTTTGTTCCCTCGCCATCCCTCATCTTTATCCCTCCCTGCCCTAGGTCTTGTGCCTTCCCGCCCCCACCCCATGCACGAGTTTTCTTGTTATTGCCAAAGGTGGCGGAGGGTCACAAAGCACTTTTTACTACTTGGAGCGCTCTGGTGTCTCCAGGGTTGGGGTGGCTCCAGCGCCCTCTTCTGCCCCGTCTTACCTCTCCTCTTCCTTCCCACTAAGCCCTCTGCCATCCAAGGTTATAAACCTACCCGTCTTTTGTCTTTCGCTGGGGGCGTGTTTCACACCTAGTTTGAATAAGCTTCCGCTCATCTCTTCCCACGTGGGAAAGAAGTGCTGGAGTGCATACCGCAGGGTGGGTGTCCCAGGACCCCACCGGGTTCTCCCTCCTGCTCTCCCCACCAGGACTCCTCGCCCTCCTCTCTGACACCAGTGATTCCTGGTCTCCCCCCAGGGCGGTGGCGGCATGGAGGCGCGCTTCACGCGCGGGAAGTCGGCGCTGTTGGAGCGCGCGCTGGTGCGGCCACGCACGGAGGTGAGCCTGAGCGCCTTCGCGCTGCTCTTCTCCGAGCTGGTGCAGCACTGCCAGAGCCGTGTCTTCTCGGTGGCGGAGCTGCAAGCGCGCCTGGCAGCTCTGGGCCGTCAGGTGGGCGCACGCGTGCTGGACGCACTGGTGGCGCGTGAAAAGGGTGCCCGACGCGAGACCAAGGTCCTGGGCGCGCTGCTCTTCGTCAAGGGCGCGGTGTGGAAGGCGCTCTTCGGCAAGGAGGCTGACAAGCTGGAGCAGGCTAATGACGACGCTCGCACCTTCTACATCATTGAGCGGGAGCCGCTCATCAACACCTACATCTCGGTGCCCAAGGAGAACAGCACGCTCAACTGTGCCAGCTTCACGGCGGGCATCGTGGAGGCCGTGCTGACGCACAGCGGCTTCCCTGCCAAGGTCACGGCGCACTGGCACAAAGGCACCACGCTCATGATCAAGTTCGAGGAGGCTGTCATCGCCCGAGACCGGGCACTGGAGGGCCGCTGAACCTACGGGAGATAAAGGATGTAGAGAGCCTCGGTCCCAACTGTGTCCTTGTGTCTTGTGTGGGGGTCTCAGAGATCAGCTCAACACCTTTATCCAGATCCCTGCCCCAGACTGGTGAGGGAGGCCAACACCAAACATGTTTATAGTAGGTGGGGAGGGGCCACGGGGGCAAAGGGGTTGTCCTAACTTAGGCTTTCAGGTCACACTGGAGGGTTGGATAAGGCAGGGTATATTGGGGAGGTAGACCAGGCAGGAGGAGCTTGTGGGGAATGCTGGCAGTGTAATCATCATGGGGCTGTTTGCAGGCCAGAAGGTGGGGTCAGGGGTTCAGGGGAGGGATCCTGCTAAGGTAGACCAGGGGCTGGCAAACTGTCAGGTACCAGAGTCCAAGTACTCAGCTAATAGGTGGAAAGTGACTGTCTTCCCTCCCCTTAGAACTTTGCCACGGATGGTCTGTGGACTATCACCACCACTGGGAGGGGCGTCAAAATACAGAATCTTGGTCCACTAGACTTCCTGAAGCAGTCTGCATTCTAGTACCATCCCCAGGGGGTCCCTGTCCACCTTAGCCTAAGAAGCAGTGCTTTAGAGTGTCACACTCCCCTGTGGGGGTCCTTAAAACCTGATGGCTGGTTCCTACCTGAGTCAGACTCTTTAGGTTTAGGGTGTGCCCGAGAATTTGCTTTTCTGGCACTTTCTGGGGAGCTGCTGGATGCCCCAGGAACCACACTTTGAGAATGATTGTTCTAGAGACCCACCTCTCAAAGAGGGAAAGTCCAGAACCATCTGGGTGCTTGAGATGTGTTAAGGGTTCATTAAAAAATGCACCACTGAGATGGGAACAGAAGTCTTATGTCTGTAATCCTAGCTACTCAGGAGACAGAGATCAGGAGGATCATGGTTTGAAGCCAGCCCAGGGAAATAGTTCAAGAGACCCTATCTTGAAAAAATCCCATCACAAGAAAGGGCTGGTGATGTGGCTCAAGGTGAAGGCCCTGAGTTCAAACAAACAAACAAACAAAAACACCATCAATCCATGATCACATTTTCCTTCCTTTTTTCCCTTTTGCCTAACACCTGTGGTCCCTGATTACTTCTCGACAGGAAAAGTCCTTCCAGATTTTTAGGGGAAATTTGGTCAAATCTTTCCCGCCTCATCAGCCTCCAGGCCCTGAACAAGTGGGGGTTGCTGCCCTTCACTGCTTGTGGGAAGTGTCTAAGGGTGGGGAGCAGCTTTGTGGTGTGCTGTTTAGATGCTCCAGCTGGCTGCCTTGGGGTCAGATGGCCTAGGTTTGGGGTCAGAGGGCAGCTTCAACTATGTCAGGAAGAGGTTAAATAAAACAAAATAAATAAAACCCTTGACCACTTGTTACTTGTGGCACAGGATTAATCATGGAGTGGTTGTTGGCTGGGGAAGGTGATGGGACCCAGGGCTGTGGAACAGGGTTTGGGTAGGGTGACGGCTTGCATCTGGAGCAGAGGGCTGAGTCTAGGAGGCCAATAGGTGCATAGCTCTGGGTGTTGTGGATCTGGAGTTGAGGGAAGTTCCAGGGTCAGTGCAGAGAGGAAGCCAGGAGGAGGAGAGGGAGGAGTTCTGGGAAACAGGAGGGGGTGAATATGGGGCCCTGGAAAGCTGGGTTTTGGAGGGAGATGCAGAAGTCTTTGAGTGTGGCAGGTCCTGGTAAGAGTGTCTTCCAGGCCTGCTGGAGAGGAGGTGAGTAGAATTGCAGGAGCAAGAGGCAGGGGATCAGAAGTGACAATGCCAAAGGGAGAAGGGCCAGGGAGAGCTGGTAGGCTGGGAATAGAGGACCTAGTATCCACCCTCACTTTTTCCTGATGAGGAGGAGTAGAGGGCTTTGGAGAAGGGATAGGGTTTGGACAAGCTGTAGGATTGTGGGACTGGTCCCAGTTTGGGGCAAGAGAGGGTAGAGAAAGAAGAGGCTTGTGGTCCAGGAGCTTCTGATCATGGTGGCTCTGACTTAGGATACTTTGGGCTGCAAGTAAGGTTTCTTCTGGAGCCTTGCCCCCAACCCCTAACCCCCCGCCAGGCTGATGAGTGGGTAAGAGAAGGAAGATGAATTCAGCATGGGCCCTAGATCAGTCAGACAAACTGCATCATCATTTCACAGGCCACAAAGCAGGTTCCAAGAGAAGTCCTTTGTCAACACATTTAATAATTGGTCAAAATTATTTATTCAAGCACCTGTTAGGAGCGCAGCACTAGGGTCACAACTGAGAAGAAAATAAAGGTGGCTGCTCTACTGAAGCTTACTTTCTGATGGGGATAGGAGATAGACAAGAACAAATCAGTAAATGTCCTATTTTGGTAAGGGGGAAATGTACCATGGTGAGAAAGTACAGGGGTAGATGGGAATGGGAAGTTATGAGGTGCAATTTTAAATTGGGGGGGATAGTTATTCAGGACAGGCCTCACCAAGAGCAAAGACTTGGGAGAGTGGATCAAGCAGGGGAGGAACAGCATGTGCAAAGACCCTGAGGTGGGAGCCAGCATGCATGATCAAGGAATATAGTAAGGAGGTGGGGCAGGGAGATGAGGTTGGAGAGAGGGGTTAGAGGGATTCTGCAGCCATCCAGGGATCCTTTGGCTTTTTCTGTGAGCTAAGAGGAAACTTCTGGAAGGTTTGGAGGCAGTGAAGAGGGATATCAGGACAGAGGCAACAGCACCAGTCCAGGTGGGTGAGGATGGGAACCAGACCAAGGCAGTGGCAAGAGGGTGACTGAATGTCATTTGACAGTAGAGCCCATGACCTTTCACATGGAATTGGAGGTGATGAGGAAAAGAGAAGAGGTGAAGATGATCCTTGTTGGCCTGTGCAATGGCAGAAGTGTTGTCCTGACCTGCCCCCTACCTCTAATGGCCTCAGGTACACGGACTTATCTGGGGCCAATGTAGTATCGCCTCGACCTCCCAGACCCTGAATGTAGCCAAGCACCTTATGGCCTAAAGTGGGCTCCTTCTCACCTGCAACTTCAGATGGTCAGCACTTACTGAGCACCTTCTGTGTACCAGGCCCTGTTCCGAGCACTTCCCTCGCCAACTTACTCCCTTCCCTCCCTATAGCCCTGGACTGGGTGACTCAGTTCAGTACATTCACTGCTTTGCCCTGCAGTATTCCTGGGGGTCCACTGAGACCCCAGGGTTCATCTTCAGCCTTTCCTCAATCCACTCTTGTAATGAAGAAAAAATAAACAAGGTGGAGAAGGTATAAATTTCGCTGCTGTTGGTTCCAGATTTTCACAAAGGTGGTCTCAGTGGACAGGCTCTGGAATTCTCAACTTCCACGTGCCACACCTGGAGACCAGGATGAGGGGGGCCTCTGTGGAGGAGATAAGTGTGGGACCATTGTCCCATTTCACAGATGCAGACTGGGCAGGAGGACTCTGGCTGTGCTGGGGTTTTTGTACTGTGGTGCTGAGGATACAGGGAGTTGCATCTGTGGTGGGGACATTCCTGATTTGGCGTGGGGGGTGGTGAGAAGAAGCACACAGAGGTCCCAGGTGAGAGACTTGTGTTCTCTTCTCAGCAGCTCCCTGGATGTTTGGGTTGCTTGCTAGCACCCCAAAAGGCAGGGAGTGACTCGCCTGGCTGGGGTTTTGGTAGTGAGAACACTGGGCTCTTGAACGCAGGGAGGTGGTTAGGACCAGCATGGCTAGACAGCTAGGGACAGTCCTTCCAGGGCAGTAGCAGGAGTAGGCACGGGTCAGCTGCTTCAGTATGGACAGAGAAAATGTCACCAGGGCCTTTCTGCCACAAAGAGGTGTCCAGGTCTTGATTAAGGAGCCTCAGGGTCTTGCTCTGGGTCTGACTGTTCCCATGATGAAGGTCAGGAAGGGGTAGAAGATGGCAGTCCGGGTCCATGTGTCAGAGCAGGTTCTGCAGAGGCCGAGGGGGCAGATGGACTGCACGTGGCCAGCTGCTCACATACCCAGGCATCCAGCTGGCTGCGGCAGAAGGCGTCGTTCCACTGCCCCGACCCCTGCATCATCACGCAGTCCTCGCCTTGGCCCTCGTTGTTGGGCTCCCCGGGGTGCCAGTTACTGGAGCAAAAAGGTCAGAGTATAGAACAGGGGAGGGAGCCCCTCCCCTTTACTCTGGGGAGGGTAAAGGGCCCTCCCGCAATTGCAATTATCCTCTCTTCTAGGCACAAGTTCTGTCTTTCTGGGTCTTCATCCTCCATTTCTGTAACCCTTCCCCTGCAGCCTAAGACTTACCTTTGCAGTCTGTGCTTAAAGCTTCCTCCCTGAGCCCCTGCCTTTGTTCCTTCCTTGTGGGGCAGAGAAGCCCTGGGCCCTTATCCAGCACTTCCTCCCCTGTACCCAAGGACATGTCCCTAAGTCCTGGTCCCCTCCCTGAGGAACTCATCCAGGGTTGCTCCTCCATGGTGCCCCCAAGGCGCCCCCTCTCACCTGTAGTCCACGGGGGTCCCATCCATCCAGATGAACTTCCCCTCCACATCCAGGTCCCGAAGGCCAATCCAGGAGCCCTTCTTGTTGGCATGTTTGGTCAGGAAGTCCTGCAGTGGGGGCAGGATAGGGTTGGAGGACTCTGGAGATGTGTCTGGGTCCCTCCTGCCCACTCCAGAAGGTTGAGTAGCGATCCTCCTCCATTGACTGCCCCGCTCCCCATGGCCACCACAGAGCCCAGGCCACCTGCTCCTCCTGGCTGTGGATGCTGACCAGCCGCCCTTCCAGGTCACTGCAGGCAACCGGGCCTGGATCCACTGCTTGGCACTCTTGCCAAAATAGTAGCACTTCTGTTGGAAGTTGAGCCACTGCTTGGGGCACGTGTTACATGCGGAGCCTGGGGTCGGACAAAGAAGAGAAGCTCAGAGGGGGACTGTGGGTGCCCTCATGGACACTGTGGGCAGAGTGGGCAAGGGAGGTAGTGGCATCTCTTTTGGAATCACCTGGGGGTCTGGGCTGAAAGCAGACCCTCACCCCGAAGAGCCTAACAGACGGACTCGCAGGCTGCCTTCTTCACTGGAGGCCTGAGACTGTTATGTAGAACCAGCTCCCTGGTGACAGCATCTCAGCTACCTGCACTATTGCCACAGACTCTGCCATGGACATCAGTTACCAACGTGATCACCATCAAGACCTAAGGGTTAGCAGCGCCAGCACCTTGTCATCCACCAGCATCATGACAAACACCATGACCGTCAGGACCACATCATAAATATTTCCATGGCCACTCATGCCTCAGCAATGACATTGCCAGTTCCAAAGTCAGTCGTGTCTCCCCCACAAACAACTAAATTACCAGACACTTCAACCACCACCACCATCTCCATAGATGTCTCAACCATTACCACCATCTCTATAGACACCCCAACCACCACCACCATCTCTATAGACACCCCAACCACCACCACCATCTCTATAGACACCCCAACCACCACCACCATCTCTATAGACACCCCAACCACCACCACCATCATGACAGATACCATGACCACTACCACCATCTCTATAGACACCACTGCCACCACCACCATCTCCATAGACACCATGACCACAGGACCATCTCCAAAGACACCTTGACTACCACCACCACCTCCAAAGACACCTTGACCACCAGCACCATCACCAATAGTTACTTTTGCATCAGTGTAACAAAGTACCTGACAAACAACTTGAAGAGAGGAATTATTTATTCTTCTCACAGTTTCAGAGGGTTCAGTGCATGGTCTCTTGGCCCCATTTCTTGAACAAAGCACCACGGTGGTGGGAGCAGGTGTTAGGGGACTTTATTAACCTTACGGTGCACAGGAAGCAGAGAGAAACAGGAAGGGACCAGGACAAATTATGCCCTTCAAAGGAATGCCCTCAGTGACATACTGTCTCCTGCTATGTCCCACCCCCTAACACTTCCACTGCTCCTAAAATAGTGTGACCCTGTGGGCCAAGCATTCAACGTGAATCTTTTGGGGACATTTTATACTCAGATCATAACAACCAGGTATCACCAGAAACAACTCAACCATTAGCACCACCAGCACAAACACCCATGACAGAAGCACTTCAATCACCAGTATCATCACCAGCTGAAGAGGGTGCTGTTTCTCGAGCTCCCTCCCTTGCTGAAGCAAGTTTTTTTCTCTTGCTCCTTGGTTATTACTGGACCTAACTGGGCTTAACTGGGAGGCGACTGGAGATTTTAGAACAGACACAGGATAGCAGGCAGAAAGAAATTTGGGGTCATGTGTGTTGTACGCTCGGCTGGAGACACAACCCTCATTGCTTCTTTTCTCTATCTTGATTCTTTAAGGCCTTACTCCTTGCAGTTCTTTAAAACCTTGCTTAAAACCTCTTTCCTCAGGCTTGCACTATCCCATGTTTGCTCTTAGCTTATCTTTAGCTTAATCGCTCCTAAAGTCTTTTACCCCCAGGCTTGCACCATCACATCTCTCTTTAGCTCTCTCAAAGCCTCAGTGCTCAGACTTGCAAACAGCCACCCCTACAATCTGCATATGCATAACTTTTTTTTATTCATTTATTTACATGTGCATACATTGTTTGGGTCATTTCTCCCCCTCCCCCCACCCCTCTCGCTTCCAGGTAGAACCTGTTCTGCCCTTATCTCTACTTTTGTTGAAGAGAAAGTATAAGCAATAATAAGAAAGACAAAGCGTTTTTGCTAGTTGAGATAAGGATAGCTATACAAAGAGGTTCCTAGCATTGCTTCCATGTACAAATGTGTTACATCCCAAGTTGATTCATCTCTACCTGACCTTTTCACTAGTTCCTGATCCCCTTCCCATATTGACCTCTGTCGTGTTAAGGTTTCTGTATTAGTTCCTCTGCAGTGGGGACAACAAACACTTTCATGTTTTGGGTTTCTTACCTATCTCCATTCCTCCCGTATGTGCTCTCCCCTTGTCATGTGACCCAAGTCCAACAACACTACTGCATTTGCCCTAGATCTAAAGTCTGCATATGAAGGAGAACATACGATTTTTGGTCTTCTGAGTCTGGTTAATCTTGCTCAGAATGATGTTCTCCAGTTCCATCCATTTACTTGCAAAAGATAAGATTTCATTCTTCATGGCTGAGTAAAATTCCATTGTGTATAAATACCTCTTAAAGTCTTGGTCCTTAGACTCGCACTGTGCACTGTCCCATGTTCTCTTTGGCTTTTCTTTAGCTTTAGCTTTCCTCAGGCCTATGTATGAAGTTCTTTCTCAGCTTTGCTTTCTGAAGCCTATGTTAAAGTTCTCGGTGCAGACTTTGTACCAACCCCTCTCTAGCATTTTCCCTTCAACAATTTTTCCCTACAATAATTCTCTTCCCTTCCAAGAGCTTCCCATACCAAAAAGCCCAAAGTAAAGCCCCAAAAAGCAAAAGCCCTTAATCGTCCTTCAGGGTCTTTTATAGCAGCAAACAGGGTGGCGCCACGGGGAAGGGTGTGACATCATAACATAACATCGAACTTAGGAGACGCAGCTGTTCTGCCTTTCCCTGTTTTGTGGCTGAGGGCTGTGCCTATCTCGGCCTACAGGTAAAAGCAATCAACTGCATCTCGCCTTGTTTTATCTGGTTCTCATAGGCTTTAATCTGCTCCCACAACCAGCAATACGTCCATGGCCAGAAGCACAGCAGCTATTGACGACATCACTGTAAATAAATTTGTGGTTAGCAACACCTCAGCCACTGACACCATCACCAAAACATATTCATGCTTCAACTACCACTGTCACCTCAAACACCTCTGGCCAACAGTGGCTCAGCCACCAACACCAGCACCACAGGTACCTATTACATCACATCAACCATCACCATCACCATGATAGATACTGCCATTGTCAACACCACCATTATCTCCACCACTGCCACCACCTTAGATGCCTCAGAGCTCATAGACTCCTCAGGGCCACTGGCACCATCACCATGACCAACTCCACGCTTAACAGGACCCATCATAAATTCATCATGGCCAGAAGCATAGTAACTGCTAATGCTGTCACTACAAGCACCTCCCAGGTCAATGTCACCCTCATCACCAATGTCATTACCACAGCTACCCGCTGCTGACTGCTGCATGTGTCTACCACCTGCGCCATAGCCCAGCCGTCTTTACCAGCCATACCAGACGCAACTTCATCAGTGTCCACAGCAGCATGGAGCAGTGCTGTGGCCAAGTTCACCATAATACTGTCCCTGCCCTGCCAGGATCTCAAGGGTCCTAAACCTGAAAAGGGCTTGGGATAGGAATGAACAGACAAGACACGTAATTGAGAGGACCAGAAGGCTGATGACTAACTGGCCAAATTTTATTTTTCTCAGCAAGCTTTATACAAAAGAGGAAGAGACTTAAACATCAAAAACATTCTGACCTAGTTGTAACCTTTCTGTTTTAGTCACCCTGAATTCTTACTGCCAGTGTCCTTGACTAAGTATAAACTTCTTTATACTTAGTCATTTAGCACTTAACCACTAGCGTTCCTTCCCACCGTGATAGAGACATGGTGCACCTGCAGATTCCGACCTTGTCCGAGTGCTGCTAAGCCACAGTGACCTTGTCAGACTGTGGCTTTTGGTTCCCAACACTGCCCAATGGCTTTAACCTGGCCACCATTGCTGGCAGCACACCCCAAAACAGTGCTCCTGGACCCTTTCTGGGTAACTGAGGTGACTGTCTTCATGTTGGGGGTCAGCCTGCCATGGGGTCTGTGGCTGAGAAAATCCCACTGATGACCACCACCCCTTCCCCTGCTAAGCCTGGTGGGTCAGCGGGCAGCAGTAGAGGGACCTTAGTGATGGCCAATACTGGACTGCTTTTATTAGAGGAAGAGTGTGGAAGTTCCCAAATTAGTGGGGAGGAGCAGTTGGAATCACGAAGGGTGTTCTTTTTTTTTTTTTTCATGGTACTGGGGTGTGAACTGAGGACCTCACACTTGCTATGCAGGTGCTATACCACTTGAACCACTCCACCAGCCCTTTTTTGTGTTCAGTATTTTTGAGATAGGGTCTTGTAAACTATTTGCCCAGGGTGGCCTCAAACCATGATCCTCCTGATCTCTGCTTCTTGAATAGCTAGGATTACAGGCGTGAGCAACTGGCACCCAGCAGAAAGGGCATTCTTGTATGTTCCAATCTGTCCTGGATCACGTTAAACTTAGACCCATCCATGTTGTCACACAAACCCTACCACACACATACCTTTGTGCCACCCAAATGTATCATATTACACACAGAGCTATCTCATGCATTTCCCTACATACCCACACATTCATGTGCAGTTACACACTATCCTCCAACACAGACTTCCACACTTACCCTTTGACACCTGAATTTCCATCCACAGCTTTGCCACCTCTTCCCAGAGTCTCTTCAGTGAATTGAAGGCTGTGTGCCTCTCGTTCAAGCCTTGGTGGGGGACGGTTGGGGTGGAGTAGTGATAAGAGACTGATGGCAGGACCACAATTTGCCCCTCCCCACCCTGATCCTTCCCAAGCCTCACTCTGCGACTTGGCGTGGGTTAGGTCCTCTAGTAGTCTGTTCAGGGTCCAGGAGAGGTGGGAGTCTAACAAGTGTAAGAAGGCAGGGTTGGCCTCAGAGATGCTGCCTACTAGCTGGAGGAACCCCAAGCCTGGCCTCCAGTCTCGGTCCCTGTGACTCTGCAGGACTCCCTCCCACTCATCCTTACCTTGAGATTTCAGTTCCTTCTGTTCAGCCTGGAGTTCTTCCAGGTTCTGCGACATCTGAGCAGCTGGTTATAGAGAGGAGGGGCTTGATAATAAACCAGACGTCAGAGCCTCCCATCTTTCCCCTATCTCCCCTGACTCCCCTGCCCCTTGGCCTCTTCCTCTGGGTTCTTAGGGCTGCCTGCTCATTTTCCAGAACCCAGGTGTGGTGAGGGCCACAGCTGGTCCTGACATTGTGTATCCAGCTGTCATCCCAGCCCCTCTCCCCTTTTCCCTCCGGACCCAACCAGAGGTGTCTCACCCTGGGATTTCTGGGCCAGCTGGTCACTCTGATACCTTTGCAAGTCCTTGGAAACTTGAGAGACTGGGGAAGCAGGAGAAAAGAGATGTCCTCAGGAACCACAAAGAGGGGTCCTTGAACTCCACTCATTCCCAAATGCAGGGGCCTCCTTCATATTGTCACAATAGCTGCAGGTTTCTTTCCCTCCCTCTCTTCCTTCCTCTCTGCTTTCCTCCCTTTCTCCCCCTCCCTCCCTCTTCTCTCTCTCCATTTCCTCCCCCTTTCCTCCCTTTCTATTTTACAGTACTGTAAAGCTGGGTTTGAACTCAGGGCCTCACACTTACTAGGTATGCTCTTTGTCACTTGAGCCATATCACCACCCCTGTTTTGCTTTAGTTATTTTTCAGGTAGAGTCTTGCATTTTTGCCCAGAGCCAGCCTTGGAGTACAGTCCTCCTACCTATGATCTTCCACATACTCTGGGATTGCAGGTAGGGGTCACCACAACTGGCTTGTTGATTGAGATGGTGGTCTCACTAACATTTTGCCTGGGCTGACCTGGAACTTTGGTCCTCCCAATCTCTGCATCCCAAGTATCTGGGACTGCAGGCATAAACCACTGTGACTGGCATATTTTTTTGGGGAAGGGGAAGGGACAGGGAGAGGTAGAGACAAACTCAGGGAGACAGAGACAAGAATAAAATGAACACATGCACCCTTCCCTCGCCCAGGATTATATTTATCTGAGGGCTTTTTTTTTTTTAAAGTACAGAAAAAATTTTACTGGAAATCTTTTGAATACATTTCAAAGTACAGCTCAGTTATTTCCAAAGTACACTAGATGAGGAAGAGAGCCTTTGCCACCTGGAGGCAGTTGACTGGTCCCAGCCTGTGCCTGGGGGTACTATGAGGGTCAGTCTAGGGCTCATCCTTTCCATCATGCAGGGCCAAGGGCTGCCTGGATGGCTGCCCTGCTCTTCCTCCCTGGCTCAGCTCAGTCAGGGCTCAGCCTCCCTGGCCTTTTCACAGGGAGGAGTCCTGGAGAAAGGCTACTGCCCTATCTGAGGGCTTTATCCATTTCAGCTTGCTGCTAGCTCATGGCACGAAAGTCACACCCATGTTACAAAGGGGAAACTGAGGCATGAGTGCTTTTGTAACTTCTGCTTTTTTGTTCACATTTCCATTAGTGTATATTAATTGTACAAAGGGGTTTCATGTAATGTATCCATACACGCATATAATGTGCTTTGATCAGATTCACTTCTGCATATATCAATTAACCAGCCATCTGACACTTCTGCAAGCCTGGGTGGAGTTTTCCTGCTTCCACCAGGATGGGGGAGCATTGTAGGCTATCCCTTGGTTCCTAGTGGGGGACAATGAGGCCTTGAGGGGGTAGCCCCACAGCAGTCAGTGGCAGAAAAGGGGACAAGTGCTGGATGTCCCAGCAGTCACCTTGGCTCCTTCATACCGTTTCGAGCAGCAGAGTCTTCCACCTGCTTCAGATTTCGGGCAGCAGTGTCTTCCAGCTGTTTCAGAGTCCGGGCAGCAGTATCTTCCAGTTGTTTCAGATTCTGCACCGTGTCCCAGTCTAGGGAAGGAGGGGGGACAGGAGGAGAGGACAGGAGAGCTGTTAGGTGTCCCCACCTGCCTGCAGCTGGGGATAGAGGCTTGGGTCTAACTCAAGGGAGGGGCCGAAAGGGGCTGCTGGGCAGGGGTGGAGGCTCCACAGGGAAGGGGCCAGCAGTGTCAAGGTGGGAGGCAAGATGGGGACAGTGAGCAGCAAAGGGGGTGTCCTTACGCCAAAGAAGTAGCAGGGACAGCAGTCCAGCCCACAGTGCCGCTGTCAGCAGTCCCAACAGTGCGAGCTGTGTCCTCAGCCTGCAGCACCGCTGTTTCCTGGAAGGCTCAAAGAACCCTGTGGAGGATGAGGGGAGCAATAGGGGAGTCTGGTGAGGGGGAGGCTGGGCTCTGGCTCTGCCTGTCTCCTCATCACCCAGATCCCCTAATATCCTGGGAGCCTGTCCAGATCCCCCAGTGAAGCAGAGGGTCTCAGTGGACCCCTAGCTCCTTCTATCCACCTTCTCCACGTGCTGTGACTGTTCAGTGCCTCTGCCCCACCCCGTGTCTACCTGTCGCAATGGGTGGCCTTGGTCTATCTGTCCCTGCGTCTGTGCATCTTTCGGTCTGCACATGGGGCTTTCTGTCTGTCCTGCTTGATGTCTGTCAACACTCCAGCAACAAGTCTGACTTGGGTCCAGGTCCTTTCCAGAGCTAAAGAGCTAGGGCCAAGAGCTGAGAGCTCCCCTCCCCTGTAATGCCAGGCCCCAGCCTCTCCTCCAGGAGCCTGGGGCCTCCTTTTCCAGCCCCTTCTGCCCTCTACTCTTCCATCCCTACTCCTGGGCCCTCAAGCTCTATCCTAATGTCTGTCCCCAACCCCTTCCCTAAACATAAGACACCAGGTTCCAATTCTTGCCTCATATCCAAGCCCTTCCCCAATCCCATTCCTGGATGCCATGCGCCCCCCAGGCTTCACCTCCAACACCTGGGCCTCCCAAAGCTCTATCTTGATGCCCCACTGGTGGCCCTCAGCCCCCTCCCCTCACCCTGGCTTTGAGGGTTCATCATGCTGAATTTCACTCAGTCCAAGTTCCTGCTCCACTTGGCCTCCCACACTGTCAGGCTCCCAGTGAGTCGCATTTTGTTGGGAGAACACTGAGTCATAGAGGGGAGGGGCCTTCAGCCTTTCCCTCCTGCCTGGCTGTGGGCCAGGAGTCAGCGGGGCTCCCTTTCCCACCCAACCTCTGGCCTTTCTTAGAAATTCATCCTCCTTGCTAGGAAGGGACTGGGAGCCCCTCCTCTTTTCCTGGGTGAAACAAGGAGGCGAAGGTCCCTCCCTCTGTTAATGTGAGCACCTGAGAATTTTCCCACCTGAGTATCGACTTTCCTCCATGCTGGTCCTGCTTGGAGTCTTCCAAGTACGGGGCGCTCACTACCCACCAAGGTAGTTCACTCAATGGATGTGTCACGGCTCTGGCTGGAATCTACATTTTAATGAGGGTTAGGGTCAGGCGTCAAACTCTAGTTACAGAACACAGAGTCTGGGACTTTGGGGACTCAGGGATCACTTGCTGATTTTAATTAGTCCACCATCTGCAGTCAATATTGTTAATTTTTTCTTCCTGGCGACACTGGGATTTGAACTCAAGTTTTCGTGCTTGGTAGGCAGGTGTAAATATTGTGGTTAACTTGGGTGGGGGGTGGCCTCACCAGCCAGCTGGAGACCAGAAGCCAAGCAACCCAGAATTCAATATGCAAGGCATACAGCAGGTGCTCAATAAATGTGCACCTGTGACATTTTGGCAAATGATTTAACCTCTTTCCTCACCTATAAGGTGGCAATGTTAATTATTCTTACGTGGCTGGGTGGTGTTTGCTGTAGGAGAATATGCACAATGCACAGGCTGGCACATCATAGGCATCCCAAAACACCATCAGCTCTGACTAGGATAGCTATGTAATCTGGGCTCTGGGCGACACCTTTCTGAGATCCAGTTTTCCCCTCTGTAAAATGGGGGTACAAGAGCCCATCACAGTCTGATGAGGCTGTGATGAGACTGAGTGAGCTAATAATGCACATGAGACTTTCTGCACGACTTTCCACTCCTAAATATTTACCAAGCATATCTGCTGTGCTTTGTCCTGATGGAAACAATGAAGAGACCCTGTCACCCGGGTCTCAGCTCCCTCTTCTGCCAACGTGCTCAGATGTTCTTTGACTTTAAAGTACTATGAGCCAAAGAGAAAACCTTGGGGTCTTTGCTGTCTGACTATGGGCAGGTTGCTTGTCTTCCCTGAGCCTCAGGTAAATGGGGGTGTGGAGCAGTGAGGCTCTGATTGGTGGCAACTGAAATTAATTCTTCATCATCCTGGTGACCAGTCACCATCTTGGGCAGCTGGACATGTCTGAGCCCAAGCAGGGCCAGGGCTTCTCCCTGGATGAGTGACTCAGTTTACTCATTTTGTAATAGTTGCTCAGTAAACCCTCTGGTGGGTGCTGGGGGAGCATCCTCACTCTGCTTGGTTTCTCTCAGTACAGCTGAGACACTGAGATGCTAAGTCATTTATGATGACTTCAGGACTCTAGCCTGGGACAGTTGTCCTAGTACACTGTTTGCTCAGCCATCTGGAAATCTGGCTTCATAAAGGGGTTTCTTCTGGTACCTGTCAGGGTGCCAGGATTCTGATACCTGGCCTTCTAATCTGAGAGGCCCTGCCCCTGCCTATTACATTCTGTGGCTCCCCAGGGTCCTCCATGATCATCTTCTTTGCCCAGTCATGTCAGATGTCTGGCTTCCACTTCCCCAAACCTGGTACCCACATGCCTCTTGATTGTGGCTACACTGCTGTCCCCATCGCCCACTGCCCACCTCTCTTCTCTGGCTGTGACATCCTGCAGGTCATCCCTTGAGGCTCAGCCTGAGGGTGTTTCTTTGAAAGAATCTTGTCCACTACCCATGGCCAGCCCCTGAGACAGACAGACACACTCACAAGGCACACACACCCACACCCCTGTGTGCACAATCTGCATACAGCCACACACTCACTTGAATTTGGAGTGTATCCCTGTCCTCCTGGTGTGCTGGGGGCCAATCAGAGAGGTCAGCAGGGCCAGAGTGGTGGAGAGAGTTTTCAGCAGCAAGAGAAACACTTTCTTCTGAAAGCAGAACTGCCTGCGGCTTCTATTTTCACAGACCTAATTATGGGTTTGCCACCGGATGACTGCGGTACACACATGGTCTTTTTTGGTGCTCCCCAGAACCTGGGGAAGTCCATGTTTTTTTTTTTTTTTTTTTTTACCTTTTCTCAGGTGAATGGACTGTGTGAGTGAGACCTTCTAAAGGAGGTGGTAGAGTCAAGATTTGAACAAAGGCTTCTGTATACTAAGTCATCCTGTTCAAATAATGCCAACTGTGTAGTATAATTTAATTTAGAAACTACGTAGGGCTGGGGACAATTCTTTGTGTCTTACATGCATTAAAACATTTAATTTAGCAGGGTGCTGGTGGCTCATGCCTGTAATCCTAGCTACTCAGGAGCAGAGATCAGGATGATCATTCAAAGCCAGCCTGGGCAAATAGTTCGTGAGAGCCTATCTCGAAAACTCCTCACAAAAAAGGGTTCGTGGAATGGCTCAAGGTGTAGGCCCTGAGTTCAAACTCCAGCACCTTCCCTCCAAAATTTAATTTTTACAATCACCCTAGGAGGTCAATCCAGGCTGCTTTATGGATGGAGGTGACGCACAGAGAGGCAAGGTAACATTTTCAAGGCCACACAGCTCATAAATGGTAGAGCTGGGATTTGAACCCAGGCAGTTTGGGTGAGGCACCTGTAGCTCTAACCATGACACTTACTACACAACCTTCATTTCATCCATTCTGCTCTTCTTCCCTGAAATGTGTCACCTGATTGTTGGTGGTAGAATATCCCTTTTCCAACCCCCTCCTACACCTCTCACTTTGGATGACACCTACTGTGTCCTCATGTCCTGGGCCAGGCTGGACTGTCCCCTGGGGCTGGACATCTCTTCCCACCATGGTGGAGAGGAACCTGGCTGGACTGTCTTTGCATGGTGCCTTACCATCCAGATGCTGACCCATCTGTCACCTTTGTGTGAGCCCACGGCACAGCTGGGCAAGTGGCCAGGGATGGAAATGTTGGGGGAGGGGAAGGAGTGCTACATGAGTGTTAGGCAGGAGTTACTGCCCAGTGGACAAAGGACAGCTGGAGGCCAGGTGGAGGGTGAGGACACTGGGGGATTTTGAGGACACTAAGGGAGCTGTCTTCTGGGACAGGCATATAAGGCTCCTGAGGGGTGCTGTGGTGGGCGTCAAGTGGGCATGGGAAGGAGGCTGTCCCAGGGCCAAGGCAAGCAGGAGGAGCCCTAAGAAGGGACTGGCACCTGGGGTGACAGGAGAGGAGGCCACCTGGGGCAGCAGTGTGCGAAGGGGCAAAGCAGGCTGGTGTGAGAGCCCCAGACCTTGGTGATGGATGAAGAGTGGATGTGGGTGGGGATGTGGATGGTGCCCAGGCCTCCTCTAGGGTTTCCGAAGGGAAGGTAAGCTGTCTCCATGATGGGGACACAGGTAGGAGGGGAAGAATTTTGGGAACACCTGTGATGGGGCTACGTTGAGGACTCAGCGTGGAGGTGCCCACCCAGGATGGGGCTGCGAGGGGGTTTTGGCTCAGAGCTCCCCAGGATCAGATGTCCCCCATCCCAAGGTGACCTGGGTACCCAACAACCCCAGGGGTCCTTCCTCAGCTGCACAGCTGGGTCTCTGCCCAGGCTCAGCTCAAAGAAGAGCATGCATTTGGGGACCCCGGGGATCCAGTCACATGACTGCTCCACCCCCTTCCCCTCTGTGGTCTTGGCCCAGGCCTGTTGCACACTTTGAGGAGAAAACAGGAAACTGCTGATGCGGCCCCAGGTCCGAGGGTGTTGGCTCTTCTTTCAGGTTTGGGATCTTGCAAGTAGGGTGGGCCCTTGATCACTGCAGGTCCTGAATCCCAACAGGAACCAATGTAGGGGGCTTCTAGCCTTGTTCACCCTAAACAGTCCCCAGCTGGAATCCCAGCCTGGCCCCAGACGTCGACTCCAGCGCGACCCCAAGGATTCTCCCATTCCCAACCCTCACCTGGGCTCTGGGTGTAGCCGAGTCACATCCTTGGTGCTAATAGCAGTTGCTCAGCAACTGGGACTGGACCGGGCTCTGTGCCAAGGGGACAAAGGAGCCCTGTGACCCTGACCCCAGCCCCATCTCAACACAGCCCCTTGCTCACCCCACCTGTCCTGGTGTTTCAAACAGGGCAAAAGGGAAGTGTGTGTGGAGGGGGTGGGAGCTGGGAAGGGCAGTAAGTAGGCCAAATCCAGGGTGGGGAGTTTCCAGGAAGAGGCGCCTTTAGAGCTGGGTCGCTCACTTTCCACATTGTCGACCTGGTTCCTTCTTGGGGGCGGTCCTGTGCATTGTGGGATTTTGAGCAGCATCCCTGGTCTCTGTGCACTAGATCTCAGTGAACTTCCCTTCCTGGTTGAAACCCTCTGCTAGGAGGCATGTTTCGTAGATGCAGAGAAAGGAGTAGCATTCCTTTGGTTTTGTTTTAATCGAGATAATATGAATATAACAGACCACTGAAGTGCACAGTTCAGCAGTGTTAAGCACACTCATATGGCTTAACTGTCATGTGCTGTCCCCACTGTCCATGGCCAGAAGTTTCCATCTCCCCACACTGAAGCTCTGTCTGGCAACACTAGCTCCTTCCCCCCCAGCCCTTGCCACCTGCTATCCTACCTCCTGTCTCTGTGGCTTTCCTGTGGTGGGTCCTGCAGTGTGTTTCCTGTGTCTGTTCACTTCACTGAGCACTGTGGCCTCCTCAAGGTCCCTCCACGTGGCACATGAGGATAAAGCTTCACACCCATGTGTCTAGGACATTTCTACATGGTAGGAGGCAGTTTTAGGGTTGGGGGGCCCTGGGGGAAAGGCTGATTTAGCCTGGACGCTGCAGAAACCTGGGTTCCAGGTGACATGTGAGCAGATGGCTCAGGGAGGATCAGGGTGACTGTTTCCTGACACCATGGGTCCCCTCCCTCTTTCTGGCACCTTTCACCTTCCTGCTAGCCAGGGGAAATCCACGCCGAACAGCCAGTGGTTTTGTATCTACATCAGCCTTGGACAGGACACTCAAAGCAATCTCTGTGCCTCCCAGGCCTCAGTTTCCCCTGCAGAGGAGGGCGCTGGAGTCCTGCTGTGGATCTCCAGGTGTGCTGCCCCTGGGGCAGGGCCTGGAGATTCACAACCCCTAGAAGACCCAGCACTATGTGGAAGTGTAAATTCTGAAGAATTAGGGTGGGGTCCACACAGGGGTGCAGTGATTCAGAAGGGCAGGAGTGTGGGG